ATGGTTCTTTCAGTACTCTTAACACGGGAATGGTCATTAAACCATGCTTTCTGGGGTTTCACTAGAAATTTCTGCTCTGGTGTATTTGCTGCTTCCAAAGTGCTGCTGCTCTGCAGTCTTAATTGTGATTTCTGTTTTCTTTTAGTAACCATGCTGGAAAGCAATAACCTGCCTCTGAATGCCAACACTTAACTAGTGCTCTCGTAAATGATGACTGCTGTGCTCTGAGGGAATTGCTATAGCTTGAGAATTGATATGGCCTCTGTCTTCCCATCGCTGTTATAGAAAATCAAAGTAACAAACCATTTAAGCCTTATTGTCCATTTAATTCTGAGGGATTGTACTGTACTATGAAAAGATTATCAGCGGAAAGTGCTGTTGCACTGTGGTGGAAATCCTGCCCTGCTTATGCTGGCCATCGCAGAGCTGCAAAGGGGGCTTGTTTTCTTTTTACTGCAAGAGGTTTTTTCATTAATCTTTGAGCTATTTTCACATAGAGCCTTAACCATTATTGCCAGTGATGCAGCTGCACCATTTTCGGAGTGCAAACGCTCATTTTCCTGGCATGCAGTAGATGCATCTGTGGAATTTATAAGGAGATTCCACCGTGCACTGAAATTGGGTGTTAGTTTGCATTAAGTTTGCAGTATATATCACACTGTTCCAAAAGGAAGGGAAGATCACAGGAAACGTAATCCATTCTTGTATGCTAGGTTAATTTATATAAATCTGCATGTGAGCCTTCCTCTATAAAACCTGTGGGGGTTTTATGAGGTGTGGGATGCTCTGAGACTTTCCATTAAGTATTACTTGCTATAACAAATTACCATTATTATCCCGTGCATTTCTATTTCATAAAATGTTGTGGGTTTTGTTAGTCTTTTGAAAATAATAAAACAGATTAAACTAAACAAGAGCTGCCCAGGGATAATAACAAAGTCTATAAAAAGAGAAACTCTCCAATTATGGTTTACAATATTATTAAATCAGAAGAGGCCTTAAAAAAGGTTGAATGAGTCTTTGTGTGTGCAAGTGGATAAAAAGCACTATATTAGAGCCTGGGGGTGCTGAGGATTATATACTATAACTGGATATGCATGGGATTTGTCTGTGAGACCATACTCTTGCGTCATAGACTCCTCTGGTTTTGAGTCTGTGAGGATGAAGTCACCAAAAGCGGTGTGGTTTCCAGGCCCTCTGTACAGGGAATTGCTTGCCCATGGAGATGTGTCCCTGCCCAATGACTTGTCGAGAGGAGGCCCAAGTGCCCATGGCTCACGGGTAACATGGTGCATGGTCTCTGCTCAGATCTTTAGAATACTGTCTGCAAACACCTCTCTGGTTTGATGGGCAGTCAGCTCAGAAAGCCTGGCCAGCCCGACGTGTCTGCTCTCCTTAGCTGCATGCTCTGCCAAGGCTGTAACATGTATCCTTAAAAGTTGTGCTTTTGCTCAGATAGATGTTAGGATCTTCATGCAGAAGGTCTTCCACCCCACACGATGCTGCAAATTAGAATGATGGTAGTATTGGTGTCTTTGGGGCTTGCAAATTAAAAAAAAAAAAGAAATATTTTCCCTGTTTGTGGGCTGATTTAGGTATGGAATACAAGTACAGCCCACCTCCCAGTGGAGTACTGTTGTGCCTGCCAGAGCTTCTGTTCATGAACATTATGTTGGAGAAACACCACTTCTTACTTAGTTTTGAGATTCCTAGCTCTGTTTCATTTCATTTGTTTGCTGAATCTTGTACCACATACAATTATTACCTGGCTCCATGGTAATGCTGCTGCCAGTAAACAAAGGCAAGACTGAATCTCTGTAAGTATATTAAACTTTAAGAAGGGAGAAGTCATTTTTTATTTACCCATCCCCTCCTGCTCCTTTGCGCAAAAGTTGCTTCATAGTTGCTCTGCAGTAGAGCAGATTTGGCTTTCCATGGTAGGCTGCTTTTTTTACCCATGGGTTTGTGAGGGTGCTGGGGAGCTTTGCAAAGTTCTTGTGACTTGGACTAGAGCTGTTTGGAGCCCCCCATTTGCTCGCCTGTTTGACATACAATAAATTCAGCCACTGCTAACGTTTCAAAAGTGTTCTGCTGGGATTGTTTCAGGACAAAAGAATGTTTCCTTCATTGCCATGTGGCCTAATTTCTCATGACAAAGAGCTTTAGCAGCAAAAAACACTGGTGTGAATATAGCACCTGCACACATTAACATTTAGTGTTCATGGACCACCAGAGATGGTATTTAAAACATACACAGAGGCATGCTTGCAGTTGCGTTTTGCTGTTTAATGGAAAGCTTATCTGAATACTGTGGTGGTGTTATGTTTGTGTTATGTTTGTGTTTTTTTGTTTTTTTTTTTTCTTTTTTTTTTTTTTAAAGAATACATAAGGGACTAGCCAAGCTGTGAGGCTTATGCTTTCACATAGCTGTTTTCAACAGCTTACATCAGGTAACTCACAGTTTACAAGTCTTGTCGACTTCATGTTTGTCCCAAGAAGGAGTGTGAAGCGCACACCCTGCCCTTGGGATAGGTGACCTGATGGAGGAAGAAGGTCCTTCCTCTACAAGGTTCTGCCTCTCTTGCCATATGACCTGTTTTGCAGGATGGACAGTGATCAAATGTTGTCCATGGAGTCTAATGGGAGATTTTTCAAGAACAGTGTCAGATGTTGTGTTTTCAGTGATAAGTCCTCATAACTTGGCAAATAAAATAAATAAATAAATGAGAATCTCTCGCATTTTGGTGCATGGGTTCACATCACCTGATAGAATCATAGAATCATAGAATTGTTTAGTTTGGAAAAGACCTTTAAAATCATCAATTCCAACCATAAACCTAGCACTGCCAAGTCCACCACTAAACCATGTCCCTGGGCACCTCATCTACACGTCTTTTAAATGCTTCCAGGGATGGTGACTCAACTACTTCCCTGGGTAGGCTGTTCCAGTGCTTGACAACCCTCTCAGAGAAGAAATTCTTCCTAATATCCAATCCAAACCTCTTCTCGTATAACTGATAGCCTGGGCACTTCTTATCCGTGCTGTCCTCACCTACCTGCACCTGCTTTCTCCAGACATCAGGTTGCCAGAGCATGCTGGCAGGGGGAGCGATGGTGACAACTGCTCCATCCAACTGATTTACAGCCAGAAATGATTCATTTGTCTAAAGAACTGGTCCTGCAGGTCGTCGCTGCCATTATACACGTCTGCAGGTGCCTCTGAGCGGGAACTTGAGCTCCTCTGGGGCAGGGTGGCTCTATGCTGCCCTTTGTCCCTCACAGCATGCTGAAAACAAGATTTAGGCGTGGGGGTTCCTGCTGCTGCAGCGTATTTACAGCTGAAATTCTGGCTGGATGTCTGTTACTGCCATTTGCTGTGTTTTGTCATTCTGTGCTGGTAGAAATGAGGGAAAGTGATGTGTGCTGCTGCCCTGAAGTGGCTTGCAGGAGAAAGGGGGGGAAGAAAAAAACCTCCAAACTCTTCATGTTTTCTTGAACCATGCAGACTGATGTCTTGTCAAAATGTAGCTGCATCAACCTGTACTTCAAAGGGAAAGGTCAAGTCATGCTAAAATCTCATTTTTCCCAAGCTCTCTGGGTTTCAGCTATTGCATCCACAAACACTCCAGTGGGAGCAGAGTAGGAATGCACACGTAAGACTTCTGCTCTGGTAAAGTGAGATTGGCCTAGAAAAAGCAGCCCAAGACAGATAGCACTCTGTTACTTATGAGTAAGGAATGTAGAAAGTATTTATAAAAAGCATATGTTGTCTGGCCCTCACAGACACACCACACCTCCTCTGTTTTACAAAAAACCTGAGGTATTTGCATAGTAGCAACAACTCCGTGGCTTTGCCATTGCATCGTTTATGTCATGGGAGACCTGGAGTCTGTTAGTGACAACAGGAAGGATTATTGACCCCATAGCATGTTTACAGTTAAATGCAAAATATTTAGATTGAGTCCTATTTTCACTGGTTGTCTCGTAGTTTTGCTTTTTTAGAAAATGTCCTTTAACATGAGTGCTTCCAAATTCTTGTTTGTATATGGAGTCTTCCCTAAATAGAGACAGTATGTTTATGCATGTTATACATATATATATATATATTTGTCCAGATGTACAGATGCAATTAGTTCTAAAGAGAACTATCTGCAATTGCATGTGAGGCAAAGGCTGTCAGCAGCTGTTAAGCAAGCTGGCTGTAAAAAACAGTGACCAGAAAAATGTGATAATACATACTGTCAAACAAATGTCATAACAGCTTGTTATATTATATTTTTTTTATGATCCACACAAAAAATGAACCCTAATTGTCTCATTGAGTCTAGGGTGATGTTAGCTAACTTATCTTTACCATCAATGTCCCTATAAAAACCATGCTAACTATTAGTCCTGATGTCAATAAAGCACTCAAATCATAGAATCATAGAATGGCCTAGGCTGGAAGGGACCTTCAGTACGTGAAAATATTTTGAGAGCTTAAAGGGAATACAAGCACCAGCGATACCAAGCAGATGCTCGAGCGCCTTACTGAGTCCTTGTCTTGGCTGTTCCCAAGCAAAAGCCTCTATTCTGTAGTAGCAAATAACTACTCGTGTTGTAAAGCTGCCACATGGCTGCGACAACCGCAGAAGCTGCCAGCAGGGAAATAGGACAAGTGCCGTACTTGTGATGTTGGCTGATGTTATTTGGTGCTACGGAAGGACAGACGTCGTCTGGCCATAGTTAACTGTAGCGGGAGGGCACAGACCTCTCCCGTCTCAGTGTCCAGAAGGCTGGCAAATGCAACCGCATATTTTTAAAATTGTGAGAGCAGTTTCTCTTTAATCAGATAAACCAGAAGTTCAGAGCGATTTTCACTAATTAATTTAATAGCACTTACGTTAGAAGACTGCAAATCAGGCAAAAAAAAGTGTAATTTGGAGTATTTGAAAGATGTCCCACTATTACAAGGCCTTTCCAGTCTACTAATGGTTTGGTTTTGTTTTGTTTCTTTACAGGTTAAACATATTGCTGGCTGGTATGAACCCCTTCTATTTCCATGCAGTGAATGTAATTTTACACTGTCTAGTGACTCTTGTGCTGATGTACACTTGTGACAAAGCTGTGTTCAAGGACTGTCGACTTGCTTTTGTCACGGCGCTGTTCTTTGCTGTGCATCCCATTCACACCGAGGCTGTAAGTATATGACACACAAAAAAACCCCATAAAACAACGGTGGCACTAAAGCCAAGAATAAATGCATAATGTAATTTTTTTAAGAAACCTCTAAGTCATACAGAATATCATACTTGTGATTTTTGCTGTGGAGGAGCAAAGGTGAGAATATACTATATTTAAAATAATTTGCAGGCGTCATTAAGAAAAAAGTGTATTCATACTCACCATCTTTCTGCTCCTGCACTAAATTCTAATCGACGGTCCTAATCAGCAATGCTGGGAATAAATGGACAATCATTCAGCTGATGAAAATGTCGAGTCGTCCGAAACCAAAGACCTCAGCGAGGCTGCGCTCTCCTGCTGGGACATTGTTGCATGCCTTCAGTCATCTCCCATAGTCATCAATTTAAGGGAGAGAAAGTGAAGGAAGCATTAGTGTGTGTTCTGGAGGAGATCAGTCAGATACAGGTGATATGACCCATGGATTAATTTGTATTGATTTGAATTAAAAGCTAGGAGTATCATCTTCAGAAAAAAACTTGCCAGCTTAATAAGCATCCTGCTAAGTTTACAGAGCAACAGCTCATATTGAACATTTTTCTGTTCATCATAAGCAAACACTTAAAGACATAGTCATGCTAAGACTGCAGCCTGTTAGCGTGGGGAGGGTCTTCTGTAGATAAAATGAGTCTTGCTGTCTTTGAGAAGGAAATGCAATGTCTAGCTACCCATACTTAAAAAACAGCAATGCACTCATTAGTTGAGATACCATTGACATCACATGCTCTCGTTATGAGCCTTTGTAAATGAGTGAGGGAAACGGGTGCCGTGGCTGAGAACTTTTGAGGAGAGATTACCGTAATAACAAAAAGCCACGAGCTTTACAGTTACTCCCTGTGCTGGCTTGTGTGAACTAATCAGCTAGGCTCCTTTTGATAATACAGCTTTATTATAAGGGAGGTTTTAGAAAAGGCACTCTTTGAATTTATTTTTGTCTGGGTCAGAACTTAAAAAAGGTTGAAATAAATGCCAGAGCGCTGTATATAGCTTAATTATGTAATCTCAAAAGAGGCAGAATTTCAAAGGGCCTTTTATTTGCTTTATCGGCAATTTTTAGATCTTTATGAAATGGAGTACTGAAATAGTTTGTAAAAGGAGCGTTTATACATTCTTTTTCAGTATTCCCTTTCTTATAAAAAGATTTGGTTAATTAATATGTAGAAAAAACTCTTATAAACTCAGATTATTCAGAAAGAGAATAAATTACATGTCACTATATCACTTTTTGGTGATCAAGTTCATGCAGTTATTAATTATTAACTCATTCCTATATAATAAGTCTTTCCTAAAGAGCTGCTCTTTCATTAGTCTTTTTCTTTAACAAATCTCAGTCTTGGGAGTTGGATGCATTTCTCATTTGAACCTTATTATACAAAATTAAAACAGATCCCTGAATCTGACATTTCTTTTTGCAACTTTATTAGCACTTCAATAGGAAAGTAAAGCATGATTTGACTGTTGGCTTATTTGTTTTGGCAAGTAAGAAGTGCAGCAGACAAAACTGAGCATATCCTACACTAACCAAGTAGCATCTTGCTACACTGGGGGAGGATAACCCTGAAAGATAAAAAGCTTAAAATAGTAGCAGTTAGGACGAATCGCTGAAGCAGTCACTGAATGCGCATGTCTTTTTATATATGTGCTTTTACACCTGTGTGTCTCTTTGCCTTTTAGGTAACAGGTATAGTAGGCAGAGCGGATGTCCTAGCCTGTCTACTCTTTCTGTTGGCTTTTCTCTCCTATAATAGGTATGGATCCTTGCTATTGGTTCTGATAATATCACGAGATACTCTAGTCTGAGGAGGAGACAAAGGGGAAACTTGTCACTTTTTTGGTTGTTGTTGGCAGAGGTACTTGCCCCAGCACTGCTGCGTAGAAGTGCCCTGGCCCCTGCTTTCAGCCAAGGTGCCAAATAAGTGACACGAGAACAAATAAGCATAAAAAGAGAAGTCAACTTTTAACGTCCCCCCTTATGTTGACTTTACAGCTGACCATACACTAGAGGAGGGCTTGTGGAGCTAAAAATTATAAAGAAATGTTTTCAACTGAAGGCAAATTATCTGTGTGTAGAGTGAAGAACGGATGGACACGTGTCTGCCTTTGACTGTGGGACTCTGAAATACCTATTCTGGGAAAGCTAAAGATTGTGTCTAGACCACTAGTTGTCCTCTTTGGATGAGAACTTGGCTCTGTTTGCTGGTCTTTGTCCTAAAAGTGTGACTGAACAAGCATTGATAAAGAAATGGCTTTACTTGGATGTAGTTTCTGCCCCTTTTGCATCGTTATTACATTTAGGAGTAGCACCGTGTCATCATAGCCACCTGGAAAAACAGCTTATATCCCTCTTGGGCTATTTGCTACAAACCCACAGCGCTGTTTTCATCAAGAGGTTTCGAAGGGGTAAAACTGATAGTGAACCCGCAGGAATCAGCTTATTTGATTTTGGTTCTTTCTCACTTTCTTCTCTCTCATATAGGCTTGCCGCCCAGTCTCTTAATGATTAGGACACGTCTTTGACTCAGGGAAGTGTGGGTGGGATGGCGAACATTTGCTTGCATAGTGTATTTTGTCACACAAGAAGAATTAATCATGTGTGTTTTAGATGATGGAAAGCAGGTGTTTCTCTGCCTTTTCTGTATTTTTTTTTTGTACTTACTCTGCCTTCCTCTGACTGTTTCAAGTCCATTTCATCTTTCTGTTTGTCGTTTTTCCTCTCCTCTACTCAAATTCTCGGTGCCTCTCTCAATATTCGTGTCTTTCCTTTCTGTCCTATATCTAAACCTTTCCTCATTTGTCAGCAAGCGGTGTAGATTGTTCATGTCACTTATTACCAGCATCTTAAGAAATGAAGGAAAAGTGTCTCAGTATTTGTGGGAATGTTTTAAATATGAAAATAACAGGGAAGTTAAAATATTTGTCAAATCTATTTTTCAGGAGTGTGGATCAGCTTTATGTTGGGGAACATTTCCCTCCCACTGCCTCCCCATTCTTTTTGCTGCTTAGTTTATTCCTTGGGACGTGTGCAATGCTGGTGAAAGAAACTGGAGTCACTGTGTTTGGTGTTTGCTTGGTTTATGACTTCTTTTCCCTCTCCTGCGATGGATTCAAGCTGTAAGTAACTTACTATGCTCACTGTGCTTTTTTTTAAGTGTTGCTACCTGTGTGTGCAAAATATATGTTATTATATACAGCACTGGGGGAGATAGATTTGCCCCTCTGAATTAGATGGCAAACATTTGACAAATCGAGAAGGCACCAAGATTTCATTTTGGTTGGCTTTTCTTTTTCTTGTTTTGTTTTGTTACTCTATTGCTGTCTGGTAACATTTTGCTAGGTAGACAGACCAGATGTGAAGAACTGATCTCTGAAATCCTCAGTTCACTTTGGCAGGACTAAAATTTATTTTTTCCATGGGAGTTCCAATATCTTCAAATTTCTCTGGCTTAACTCCTTCCGTTCTCAACATCTGCTTGATTATTCAGTCACAATGTCATGGTTGTAGAAATGTCATACAACGTTTAATAGTAAAATCAGTTTTGATCCTTTCTGTCCTTATAGAATGATACAATGTTTAATAGTTAAATCAGTTTTGATCCTTTCTGTCCTTATAGAATGGAAAAAAAGGGAAAATATCCAGCCAGTTCTGGAATGATTGAAATAATTAGCAGCTCTCAGAAGTCACTGGAGAAAAATCAAATACTTTGAAGTTTGTATCCCTCACCCACTTGGTGTCACAAATAACTATGGTATTCTGTATTTCCACTGAACGTCAGAAGTATTTTTTGCTTGATCGAAGCTGTTTTTTTCAATTCCTCTCCAAAATCACACTTGGCGCAGAGCTATTGACAAGTGAACATAAGAGCTTACTGCCCCTGAGAGTGGGAGATCTTGCTCCTGCCATTGCTTCTCATGTTCCCACCAGCGCTGCCCCATAGGCTCTGGAGCCTGTCACCCCCGCTATGTGATCTAGTGGATCTAGGTTATAAAAAAGGATGCTTGAATTCGCATTTCTGCAACAGTTAAATAAATCAGCTCCCAGAAAGCATTGGGGAGTGCCAGAATGCAGGAACGGCAAATGTGAGGAGGAGGAGGAGAGGGATTCTCCTCTTTAAGGAGCATCCTGGCATCCCCGATGTTTCAGCCCTTCCTCCATGTCCTGATGGGAGATTGGACCATGTTTCAGACCCACCTGCCCTTCTGCCAGCCTCTCTAGCAGCAATAGCAATCAGAGGCCAGGTTCGATGGATTGGCAGAGGATTTCTCCTATTTTGACCAGGTAGGTCATGTGCAATGGTGTAACTGGTGAGGAGGTAGCCAGTGAGGAGTCTTCAGGGGACCGACAGCCAGAGACCTAGTTGACATTTACATTTACAGTCTGCCAGGCGTGTTCCAGGACCTGCCTGGCTGAAAGTAATAGTTTTAATTAATTGGAGAAAATCTGTGTCCTTGCCCTTACCTTCTTCTCAATCTCCCCTTTCCCGTAGGTTCACATTCCAGTGACCTCTTCAGGTTATTCCTTTGCTTCAGTGGCATCCAGTTGCCCAGATGTGGCAGCTATTTAGTTTGCAGGAATGAAGCTCTGTAGTCCAGATATGCTCCATTTTCATATTTGCTCTGGTTCTGCATATTATGCACTCTCCTGTCTGTTTGTGGTCTGTTTTATGACTGTATCCGACTTTTTTTAGGGGGCAGCAGAAAACCAGCAGCCTTCTACATGCTGCTGAAACTCATCTCCTCCAGCTCCCTCTTCCAACCTCTACCAATTTATTTTCTGTTTAAATGAGGCAGAACAACAATTATTTTCTACTGCAAAAAATTAGGAATGGCATCACATTCTTCCTTACATTGCTTTCCATCTTACCAGAGATCCAGAGGACAGTTTGATACACAAGTGCTCATCTTGCTGTCAGGTCTCTTCTTCTAGGAAGATGTAGTTAGGAACAAATAAATCCTACCCTCCCAGCACACAAAGACTTTGTATTTTGGAATAAATAAAGTGTTGCCTTTTGTAGTTAGGTACTATGTTGTGCTACTTTCATAATGTTCAATCTTTAGCTAAATAAACGTGAAACATAAAAATCCTTAATCATTTTTTTTCCCCCTCTCCTTTTTCCCTCCTCCTTTCCTCTGCATGTGTAATCAGGAGAAACGGAGGGATCCACCAGAGACCTGTCCGTCAGTCCGTGGCTTCTCCCTCCGCCTCGCTGCAGGTCCCTCCAGCCGGCCGGGAGAATGGGAAGCATCGCTTTGCCCACCGGGGCACCTGGAGCTCCTGCCACCCAGCATCACCCCAGGAGCAGCGAAGCGGTGGCCTTTCTGTGCCCAACAAAGCCATGTGGGCTATTCGGAGGTACTGCTGGCTATTTGCTGTTCCTTTGTGGCTTAGTTTGCAGCTTGATCCTACCTTAAAATGTGGAGCCGTTCACTTTGTTTTAGCCATTTTTATCCAAAATGCGCTGTAATTTTTCTGATGCTACTGGAGAGGGAAGAGAGGGAGAAAGTGGAAGGAGAGTTAAAGGGAAGAATTAGGAGGGAGTTGAAAAGTGCATTTCTCCTGCTTGGGAAGAGAATGTCTAAGGACTGTCCGTGTCCTGAGACTTTCTATCCTGATATGATATTGATAAGCAATGCTTCTCCGTGGAGAAAGCCAAAACTGTAATGCTAGTTTGAAAGTGAAGAGGGAGGATACATGCATGTATGCAATAATGCCTGAAGTGAGCATAGTGTAAACAGCATATTATATATCAGTGTTTGTTAATATAACGTATGCATGTGGATATACATACCTGGAGGTGTACGTATACATGCATATTTATGTATATATATGAATGTAGCGGTGATGTCCATTTCTGCTTTATGCCTAAGAATGTGCATATAGGGGTGAGAGCTGGCCTCAAGCAGTGACAGAAGGATTTTCACCAGTCACGTCCAGCAGTTTGTTGTGCATCTCACTGGGGAAGGAAGGTCTCTCCCATAACTCATGGCCACACTCTGGCACAGGACCAGCACTTGGTGCCCTTGTTCCTGTGAAACAGCACGGAGTTAATAAAAGCATTTAAGGGGGTGTGACTCAGCAGCCACCCCATGGATCTCTGCCAGAATGTGTAGTTTGATGGTTATGTTTTTTTTGGGGGGAAGGGAGGGTTTTTTGTTTTTTGTTTTTTTTTCTTTTAACCTTGACCTATCCACAACCTCGCTGGCAGCCTTTGCCCAGCTTGCCCTTTGTTGCTGGCTTTTGTTTTTAACTACAAAACACACGTGGTGTGATTTTATTTGGATGCCTGTAATCATGAATTACCATGCACTACCTATTCTTTGGAGAAAGTGATTTTCTCCTTAAATAGATCAAGAATTACCTGCTGTAGTTCTCTGATCGTTTAATGGTTTGCACCTGAACAGGCCCTATGCAGCACTCCTGAAACCTGGGAAAGGGAGTGTTTTGTTTCCACATAACATCCCTCATTAATCAGTTCAGTAGGAGCTGTTTGTTGTTGGCTTGTGGTTGGCTTATTTTTTTTTAAATAATAATCTTCTTGCTGCATTAGTATGGATGGCATAGAGGCATCATATGAGGTCTGTAACTTTTCAGATCACAGAGACTCTTTCCTCTTACCTGTAGTTTAAATGGTTCAACCCACTTGAGAGCTTCTGCCCTGCAGGTCTTTTGTCTGACTGGTCTGACTTGGGGATATTTGGGGTTTTGGGGCTTGTTCTTAACAAGTAAGGGAGTGGGTTTGATGGTATCTCACTGTGTGGGACTCCATGATGCAGCAATGCGGAGGAATTCAAGGCTTTTCAGAGTGGGTAAGTGCTGGCTGCTCCAGCACACAGGCTCTTGGCCATTGGAAACAGCCTTTAGAGTTGTTTGTTTGAATTTATTTCTTCTCCCTGTATCTCCAAATGAGTAGCACGATTAGAAAGTGTGGGTGACCCTGGTTCCTTCTAATATGCCAGGCCAGAATGGGCTGTACAAGAGCCTTGTTTAACATCTTGCCCTGAAAGTTTAAGACCTGGTGGGGAGGAATAATCTGAGCATGATGCTGATGCAGCTGCTGTTCCTGGCGTTTGCTCTCTTCACGTATCTTTCGATGCTTTTGTTCTCCTCAACATTCGTGTTTGTTTCTGGTTTTTCTGATGGATACTATAGTGGCGGGTATCAGTATAAAAAATGTCTCCTGTCTCCCTCCATCCTTTTGTTCCTTGTTTCTTTTACCTTGTTTCTTTCTTTCTTCTTGCTCCTCCTTTCCCCCTTCCTTTGCTTTGTACTTTCTCCAGACATTCTCACTTTGCCCCTGCTTGTGGGAATGTCCCTTTCTTATACCAAGGGGAAAGCCTCTGGTTTTCCAGCCTCTTCAGGAGAGGCTGCAGAAGTTGTGCTGGAGAGACTGTGTGTGTGGGATGGCTTTAGAGGGAACTTGTCCAACTGGCATTTGCTTTTCAGCAGCTGCCTCTTCAAATGTTGTAAAGGATTTCTGCACATGGCAAATCAAGCTCTGCATGTGCGTAGCTGCATTCTTTTTAAAAAGTACCTCTCGGAGTCCAAGCTGCTGAGCTTTTCTTCTCAAGTGACTGACTCTGTGCAACACACCTGCCACAACCTGTTGTGTGAGGTTAGCTGTGGGGATGCCCAAAGTAGAGCTGGCTTGGTCCCAGTGGCTGAGAGGGAAGCCTGCTGCCACACATTTGTGTGAGCTGTGCCCAAGGGCCTTGGGAGAAAACCTGGGGTGGGTAAATGGATGCTGCTTCTTTGAAAGAAGCTTTAAAACATTGTTGGCAGCTGCCTTTGCTAGTTTTTCCCTCACTCTAAACTCTTGTTTCCTCTAAAGGCCAGATCACTTCTTGTTGCATGTAATGACAGCCTCATAGATCCTGGGCAGTCTGATCAGTGCCTGTTTGTCTAATGTCAATGTTTGCTAGTCACTCTAAAAAAATAAATGTGCTACTCCAGCATTTGTAATTTCAAGAGATCTTCACAATTCTCGACCACATGCAGTGTGCTTGCAGAAGCATGGAACAACAAAGTTAAATGTATTGCAGCTCACTCACTCTCAATGACATCTGTGTTATGTGGAGGATTTGAACCACTATCTGATGTAACTGTATTCTCCTCCTTGATTCTGTTTGCTGACTCCTTTCACAGGACAGATTAAAATAGTTGAAATACTTTCTTTACACAGTCTTTCTTAAGTGTTATTGGCATATTTTATGATAGTAAGTAGGAAGCACTTGAGGCAATTGGTCTATAAAAAAGTAAATCCTTGCTATAGGTGAAAAAAAGATAGAAGTATGAAAGTGAAGTTGCTTTCAAATATACAAAATCAATTACACAATTTCTTCTCTCTATTCAATATTTTTCTGACTCATGTAGCTCTCTCCCATGGCAAAAGGAAGGCGAAACGTTTTTAAATATTTCAAAACCCTGAAGTTGGAGGACAGATTGGACATGGTGAGGTAGCGTCACGTACCTCATCTAGTGCACTAGGTTGCTAACCCCAAGGTCTTCATTAGAATAAAATAGTTGTGTGCTGCTTAATCTGTGCTTTTAAGTACTTGTAATGTGATCAATTAGGTTTTTTAAAAATAATAATTTATTATGTAACTTGCTACTAGAGCTAACTGAAAAATGCAGGAAAGTGTAATGGAGGAGTTAAAGCAATCAGTCTAATCAGCAGTAACTGGAGCTAGTTATGTAGATTCTTGGTGCAGAGAGATTTCTGTTCTTTATTGTTGTTTGCTCTTATCTTCAGCTCTGCAGTGAACGTATGAGTTGCAGTCCTAGGTGCCTTCAGGAGTAAGGATTGAGTTAGTCTGGATGAAATGGTAGGTTTTAATCACTGTGATTTATTGCAATTTTGGGGGATGCTGGCATACACTACTGAAGCAAAGTAACTAGGATCTCTTATGAGTTGGATCCATTTCCCTGAGTTTTAAGACTCTAAGAGGCCTGTGACCGTATGTGCCTTCCTATATAACACAAATGGAGAAGGGCAAACAGGAACTTTCATCTCAGGCTTGTACTTCTGTTTGAGATACGGCCTGAACTTTAGTGCTTTCACTTTCCTATCCAAACGATACTCTTGTTAGATCCATGAATATATTTCACAAGAATGATACATGTGAAACAAGTTGTCATAGTCCCTTGTGCAAGCTGTGTCTGTAGTTATTGTCACTTCTCTTTTTCATGACTTGTTGAACCCACTGTAAACAAAAATCTATATTGTTTTTACAGTTTTGTTCATTTATTTTTTTTTTAATTCCAAGGCTACATGCACTTTAAGTCATGCCATGTCATACCTGCATCACACTCAGCGTTGCTAAATGCTGTCCAGCTTGTGGGTACCCTCATACCAACTAATCACCCTGGTGATTTTGAGCTTTGTAAATTGCCTGTGGTGGGTCCACAGACTAAGCTTCTTGAAAAACAAGACTCCTCAATAGCTTGCATACTTTTGAAACTGAAATGTCTGTTTCTCTTTGGTGACCTGGAAACTGATTTTTATTGCTTCTGCTGTTCGTAATTTAACTGGTGAGACTCTTCCCTTAGAATGGACAACAGGCCGGTGTTTGATGCTGCCACTTTCCATTTTTTTTACATGAACTGTTGCCTTAGTTTTTTTTGTTGGGTTTTTTTTTTTCACCAAGTGACAGAATGAGAAAAGAAGCAGGTGTACTTGGAGCTGTGCCCAACAGCAGAATTTTAAATCTGTGTGTGTGCAAAAGTGAGTGAGGGAGCTCACTACTTGTTAGCACTGTGGGATCCAGGCACAAACCCTCACTGATTCAAAATTCAATTAATCCTTAAGGCTATAGCAGGGATAAATGTGATCTGATGACTAAACCAGTAGCAATGGTGTTTCCTTTTGCAGGGGCAGGGACAAGAAAATGGAAAAGCTCTGCAGAATGTGTTGCATTCCAGGGATGGCTGCACTGACCCTAAGACTGATATACTGTGAGGAAAAGTATGCTGAGGTCATAACGTATCTTCCCTGAGTCCCTGCGCAGTGTGAGCGGTCAGTGTTTGAGCTGAAACAGATGCTGTTCTCCAACATGAAGAAAAAGTGGAGGGAGACGGGGAGAAGGTGTTGGCACACATAAAGTGCGACTACATAGTAATTGCTTGATGTTGATTTGGCTTTTCCTCACTGGGTACTTCTATTTCCAATCCTTGTGTAGCAGTGATTTTTTTTTTTTAAAACTAATTTGACAGTATAGCACATTTCTGCTTTAACATGGAATTCTTGTTTGAAAAGCACAAGTCTCGGCTTTATTTCTAATGCTTCTCCTTGCCACTACACAGTGTAATGCTGTTTCCCAGATTCATAACCGATAGAGGCAGAGTAGTGTGACCAG